ATCCGACGTAGAAGAAAGCTGTAGTCTCTTTTTTCTAATATTTTAGTACAAATTCATTGCAAATATCTGGCGTAGAAACTAAGCAGTCAAATCCATTGCAATATCCAACATATAAACTAATCAGGTATTCTGCTCGAATAGAGAGAGAAGGAAGAGAGAGAAAGAAGAAAAATTTATTGGAATTTTGAAAGAGAATCATGTTTTAATTGAAAGATAGAGAGAGAAAGAAGAAGAAAATCTGAGAGAGAATCTTGTGTTAAATGAAAGAAAGAGAGAGGAAGAACATAAATAGCATATTTCATGCATCAATGCTAGTATATACCATAAATACTTATTTTGCTATAAAAATAAAAGGTAGTTATAGAAAATAATATTTTAAAATGATTTTGGTTTATAATAAATAGGGTGTATACTTTTGCTATATGAGGTAAAATTTCCTTAATTAAAGCATGATAAGAGTTGAGTTGATTGAGCTATAACCCAAATTTTAGCCCAACTTGACCCAACCTATCTCAGCCCAAGTTACTTGTGGAGGGGTCATTTGACCCGCGTATTTATTGGCTCAACCCATTGTGACCCGGCCAAAATTAGCCCAATCAACCCATTTGACACCCCTAGTAATAAGTCGTATGCATTCAATGAGAATAAAATACAAAGGGATCGTTTGGTATGTTGTATAAAGCAATTAATCATGGTAAAAGAATTTGTATTGAGTTAACACATTGTTTGGTTGTGATTTCAAAATGTAGGATAATTAATCCATTTATCATTTTTTATACACTAAGAGGTCGTTTGGTAGGAGGTATTAGAAAATCCAATGCAAGCATTAACTTTATGCATTATTAATCCCTTGTTTGGTAGTACATTTTCTTTTCAAAATCCCATTTGATATTATCCTATCTATAACTAATACATAGTATTGACCCAAAAAAAACTAATAATAGCAAATCATGGTATTAGCAATAGAAGGGTTTCTAATACTTGTATAAACATGGTTAAAGACATAATTGCCTCTCAAATCCTTAAAACTTATATAAAATATTTTCCATCATATTTTGTATATTTTTATATTATGATATTTTAATTAATCTTTCCCCTTTAGAATTCTACTATACTTTAAAATAATATCATATTTAATACTAAATTTGATTTTGAATTCGTTCAAAGTATAAATGGAAGTTTTCTTTATTTGTTAAAAATCTACCCATTTTTTTAATAATTATTTTTTGTATTATATGTCATAGCAATTAAATTCTCCTTCTCTTTTAGCTTTAATATTTTAATTAGTTTTCTCTTTAATTTTGTTCTTGTGTAAAAAAAAGGTTGGTTTTATAGTGAGTAAAGAATGTGGAGGGTAATAAAACGTTGCAATAAAAATAGTGTACAAAGTTAAAGAATTTGGAGGATATTTTTGTACGCAATTAACTATTTAGAAATTATACAATGCTTTAATACACCAAATCAAACAGTGGACAAGAAATAATTTCAAAATAATTAAGCTAGCATATTTAACCTTAGCATTATTAATACACCGTATTCAGTACTATTCTTATACCTCCTAACAAACGACCCCTAAGTGACGTATTAACTTATCCTACCACCAACATGGAGGAATTAATCCATGTATAAGCTATACATGGATAAAACATCAAAAGAACAAAATTATCTTTTATTTTTTTTCTAGAAGCCTATGAAGACCAAATATCCTAGGGTATAACTGTAAATTTATTAATATTTAAGTTTAAAAGTAAACAAATAATTTAGATGATACTTTTGTATATCCTATTTTACTGCACTGAACCAAACACCTGACAAAAAATAGTTCATATACTATTAATTACTATATTATTAATTCTTGTATTACTAATTTATGAGTACTAAATTTATGTATAATTTGTCTTCAAACCAAACGACCTGACAGTTGGGACTTTGGGTGCGGTGACAAAACCGGCTGTCTGGAGAAGCAAAAGGAAACATGGTTTCTCATTAGTTGGAATGGGGAGGAAGAATAGGGAGAAAATTGAAAAATTTGGAACCTAATACGTTAGTTGTATACAATTAATAATTATGCAACATATAATTAAATAAAAATCACTCTAATAATATTATTTAAAATTATAATATAATATAAATAGTAGATAAAAATTCCTTAAATAAGTAATACTTTTCAAGTATTTTGAGCAGTCAATTTCAGAATAGAACTTCAAGAGTATTTGAGAGGGGAACTAGGCAAAACTTGTGGAATTCTTGAAATTCATGACATCAGTCTTTGTGCGACAAGAAGGTGCCACCAAAACTTAAAGGTAAGTTTTATAGAATCATAGTCAAACCGACTATGGTGTATGAGGCTGGAGCGCCCATGTCCAGAAGATGAACAGCAGAGATGAGAATGTTAAGATGGAAGTGTGTGCACACTAAGTTAGATTGGATTAGGAATGAGGTTATTCGTGGCAAGGTGGGTGTGGCCCCTATTGAGAACAAGATACAGGAAGCGTAGACTTAGGTGGTTTGGACATGTGAGGAGGAGAAGCATAGACGCCCCTGTAAGTAGGTGTGAGAGGTTGACATTGGAGGGCCTAAGAAGAGGTAGAGGTAGACCGAATAAGAATTAGTGAGGGGTAATTAGGCATGACATGGCGCAACTACAGCTTACTGAAGACATGACCCTTGATAGGAAGGTACGGAGGTCGAAGATTATGGTAGTAAGTTAGATAGTCTAGATTGTTTGTACTGGTAGTATTAGTGCGTACTCTCGCACTCTGTTGGTATTAGATTTTTATGACTACCTGTTGTTTCTTTCATTTTGGTCATCTTACTTTCTTGTTATTTATGCTACTTTTATATGGCTTCTCGGTGTTGTCCCTTCTTATCATTCTTTTCATTAATGTGGTGCTTATGCTTTTATGAGCCGAGGATCTAATGGAAATAACTTCTCTATTTTCACAAGGTAGGATTAAGTCTACGTACATACTACCCTCCCCAAATCTCATTATGTGGGATTATACTGGGTATGTTGTTGTTGAGGCTTTTCATATTTAAATGGAATTTTCCATTCATTTGGTAAAAATAATAATAACGAGATGAATTTTCATACGGGATCTAACATTCTCACAACTAATAGGAAGCTACTCAAATAAACTAAAGGGTAAATCAGATTAACATCCTTGTAATATGATTTAATTGCAAGTACGTTGCTTGTATTTTTACATCATGCATTTAACCTCCTCAGACAATGAAAATATATCCTACACAAATATTATTTTGAATAATTTTCCCATTCAACAGGGGTGTTAAATATTTAGTTTTGTAAAACATGAGATACACTCGTAATTACGCATATTAAATAAAAAAAATAAAAGACAAAATAAAATTATAAATACAAAGTTTCTATATATTTAATTACGAGAATGTTGGCATTAATTGATGAACAAGTGAGCTTTTTCATAAAAAAAAATTCAGCAACTAAGCAGCCAATGAAGAAAAACAAAAAGTTATATGGAAATTGGAGTATTGGCTTCACATTTGTAGTTCAACTAGTTTTTGGACGCATGCGTTGCGCGTGTATTTATATCAATTAGTATAAATTTTAAAAATATTGCATAAATATTATTAAAATATATATTTGAGTCATAAAATAAAAATTCAAAGAAAAATTATAAGCATTATTAATATGGATCCTATTTAGCTAAAAATATAAAGGAAGATGTTAGAGATGAGTGATGGATCCCAAAATACCCTCAACTAATGATGAATCCACATTGCAATTGCAACTTAGACTCCAACTGCTAGAGCATGTTATTCTTGAAATATAACCGTGTTTATAAATACTAGAATTTATTCAGAATTTTAGAAATTCTTGTAATGATATGAAAATAGAGATGATAAAACAAATAAATTTCAGTTTGTAACATAAACAAGTTGCAACAAAAAAATAAAATAATTGCTGGTGCATTCTGAAAATTCACACACGTTCAAAATCATGAATACATGTAAAAAAAAAAAAAGTTTAAAACCTTACACAAGGAAATAGTAGCATAAGACTTCAACAATAAAATAGACCATGAGAACAATTCAAAGTTGAAATGACAATGCAACAATTACAAAAAAGGAGAAACTTAAGCCTGCAAGTTGTTAATATGAAGGAAAGATAAAAATAAAAGTTGTATACCCTACATATCTGCTATACTGGAGATGCCAATTCATTTATGATATTAGATAAAGGTAGATTGATCTTTAATTATAGTTGAGGAAAATTATATGGCCACTTATCGTTTCCGTCTCAGTGCACATCGCCAACCACCGACGGCAGAACTTTTCAAGTTACCAAAGCAATTATCTCTAAAAAAAATATATTTCTAGGCGAAGAATCACATCTAAAGTAATCTAAGAAATTAAACAGTCAAGCTTTAAGACACGAGAAGTTAAATAATTAGTAACGTATACGCTTTACATACATCCCCATCAAAATAAAACTAATTGAACAACTATTAACGCAATTAATTAGTCTCTTCATTTGTTCTCACGTAGTCACATTCAGATTACATAACTAAATTGTTAATTATATTTTGGTGGGTATATCTACAAATTAAGTGGTTTAAAGAATAATAATGATAGCTAAGGAGAAAGAATTTTTGGTCAATTAGCTTTTGGAAGGATATTTTGGTAAAATAACTTTACCTAAAAGTAATATAGTACGATAATAATGAATTTAAGTTATATTTAGTTGACGTGTAATGACTTTTTTTATACTAGTAACAAATTTTAATGTGGGATAGTAATGAAATAATTATCATTTCACTTTGAATCATTTAAGTGTGTAGTATTTTAATCTCACCAATAACCCTCCATTCTTCTCCTCACCTCCTCCCCCAATTCATGGATCTATTACATCACAATGCTAAAATATCTCGGAATTCTAATCCATAATTAATCATTTCTGCAATTAATTTTGAAGATAAATCAATGATTTCTAATTCAAAACATAACTTTTTTAGTACGAGTTCAGCTTGAAATAATTTTTCGAATACGCTTTTTCAACTACATAAATATTAGGCAAAACAAAATCTTCCAAAATATTGCTGATTACTCTTTTCCTATAAATTTATATCCAGATTTTATGATGCCCAGCTCATCAAATTTGTATAGTACCTTGTTCTTTCTTTTATCTTATAAATTAAACAATACTAGTAATAAATAAAAGAAAAAAAAAAAGAAGAGATTTACATTTTCTACAAGTTCTATTTTGCGGGTAACGTCTCGGGTCTCCATAGAAAATCGGGTGACCCGAAACTAAGATCCGAATGATCAAACAATCCATCTAACGCTACGTATTCACAAACATTATTAGCATTATTATAGTCCACCAAATCAGCGATTCCCAACTCGAACGAGTCGTAATTTGGAAATCGCTCTTCTAGTTCCCATAACTCATTACTGATCAACTCAATCTCCGACGCCGCCGGTGGAGGAAGTCCAAGCTCGTCATCGGAAGCTTCCAGAAGATACCCGAACTCCGGCTGAGATACATCGGAGTCCGCCGTCAAATCAACAACTTCCGTCGCCGTTGCCGCTGCCGGCGGTGCCGACGAAGCTGTGATTTCTTCTTCGAAACTCTTCATGAACGAGTCGAAATCCTGAGTTGCGGTGCAAAACTCGGAGTCGTCGAGATCGTCTAAGAGATCTTCTCTGAGTCTCTTTACCTCCGGTAAGTTAAATTCTGACGCATCCGGGTCAACTCGGGTTCGCTTCTTTCTAATCAGCTGCTCCATATAATTTTTTGAAAAGAGATTATACAATGAGTGTAATGCACGTGCTTAAGCTTTTCAAAGCGGGTTGAGGAGAGAGGGAAGAGAAGGGGGAAGGCTTATATAGTGGAGACAAGGAGGAGAGAGAAAGTCATGGAATGAGGGAGAGAGAGAGGGTAATGGTATGACGTTGGCGCGTGGGTGGGAATACTTATGGTCGTCTATAGATTTTCGTTTTTTTTTATTTTTTATATTTTAAATATTGAAATGTTATGTTTAAACGTGTTCGTAGTGTGTTTCTGAAGATTTTTCTAAAGTGGTGGATTTGATTGAGAATATAATATTCCGTGATTAGTTGGTTTTGATTTCAGATTTGGAGTGCGGGATGTGTCGTAGGTCTACCTGGGTTATAGTCAATTAAAGCCCCACCCCCTCTCTGGCTGCCGTTGGTTGTTTTGTAGTTTCGGGTCTTCCTTTTAGTAGTTGTTTGGTAAGTTTTTAATATCAATATTTTATTTTATCTTTAATAGCACTCCCTTATGAAATAGTTTTAATATATTATACCCATGTTTAGTTTAAGATCATTAGATTTATTAGTGTTCTTTACATCATTAAATTTAGAGCCCGTAATTTTTTTACTTTTTAAAAAAAATCAATATTTGGCCATAAAAATTTTAATTTTCACTTGAAGATGAATTTTGAAATTTTTCGAAAATTTTAAAAACTCCAAAAAACTATTTTTCATGTCCAAACACAAATCTAATTTTCAAATACCATTTTCACTTAATTTTTTTTTTACTTTTTTTAAGAATATATAATTCTTATGTCCAAATGCCCACTTAATGTCCAATCAAATTAAAAGATATAAAATAAATCTATATATATATATATATATTATTATTATTGGTATTGGTATTGGTATTTTTGCAACGTGATAAAATAACATCATGGATAGTGAAAATTCACAAAGCCAACCTTAACTTGTTTGGATTGAAGCGTCAGTGTTGTTTGCATCATATTCTCTTTCGAGCGATTCCATTCAAGTTTTTAGTTGCATATATTACTCAATAAGTTTCCTCTTTGTATTATTTTCCTTTATTTGGTTTGCATTTCCTTTGAGGGGACATAGATTAGAGTTTAATGTATCACACCACCAAGAAAAATTAGGGAGTCATGTAAGTTTTGGGTCCATGGCAATCAAGTTCAACAACAAAGATACACTAGTGATGCGTGTAAACTGGATTTGATGTTATTTGGTACAAATGCATGAAAAATTTAATGATAGGGTAGGTCTGTAGGTAACTCTGTGATAAAGTGAAAGTTCACATTTGAAGTTTCAATCAATTATTTTACCAAGTAACAACCATCACAATTTTTGTCAGGGGCAGATGTAACGTCGTCTATGGGTTCATTTGAACCTAACAACCGTAGCTTTGGGTTCATCTAAACCCATAACTTTCAGTATAGTATTAATATATATGTAAACATTTATCAAAATTTTAACAAATATTAGACCTATAATTTTAATAGTACAATAATTTAATGTTGAAAATTTTAAAAATTGAATTCATTAAATTTAAATTCTGGATTCGTCTCTGTCTTTAGTAATCTCAGGCTTTGTCACCTCTTATTTTAGATATTTTAGGTAGTTTAATAATTACTGGTACACTCAGATATTCTAATAAGGAAAATGAAAGAAATGCAAGAATGTCAACTTGGGTTTCAAACTTGCAACCTAAAACAGTTTGAGCTATTTTTATCGCTACACTAGAATTATATCTATGAAATTCAACAATTTGTATGTATACAAAATATTTCTTATTTGTTTTTTTTAACTATTTACACAATATAATTTTTTATAGATCATGTTGCTCCACCCAGGTTGATACCATGGTAGATTCAAAGGTTTATCTTAAATTTGGTTCGTCGCTGTCATCTGAACCATTATTGTATTTTTAACAATTACTTTCATTTTTTTGGGGAGTTAAAATACTCCTTAGGTCCGTTTCTTACCTAACAGGGCTTACTGTTCCGATTCAAGCCATACCTAAACACATTTCTAAAAGTCATGCCAATTCATTCATCTCTTACTAATTAAGGTTGCTCGACAAAAAATTAGGTTCCACTCGAGAACTCAAAATATCTCGTTGAATTAAATTTGTCCAAATTTTTATAATCTCTTCATGTATAGTCTCCCTTAGCGTAAATCTAGCGGTTGCTTGTTCGATGTGCTCTCACTAGATTATACTTCCAAAATGCCACTTTAGCTCTAAGATCTAATTTTACAATTGTTCATTATAATATGTGTAACAATTAATAGATACTTTATTATTCTAATAAAAGATTACTTTAATTTTATTTTCGTGCATTCCACTCTTACATAAAGAGATGGAAATAGTAAACCAGATTACGAAAAGTGGAAAGGGTGTTTCTTCAATTAGTCAAGGCTATTTGATAAAGCAACCATCCCTAACGAGTAAAGAACATAAAGTAAAATACTTGAAAAATTTCCAATCTAAAAAAGAATATTTGCATATAATCGTGGGGAAAAGTAAGGTACAAGACAGCTAATAAATTCTTTGGTATTATTCTTTCTGGCCTAATCCGGCAAGATATGGACCAAACTCCAAATTTAAACGCAACGCGTACGAGAATTTAGATATGAAAAGCTCCTTTTAAGGACAAAAACATTATGAACCGTACGAACAGACAACTTAGGACAATCTTAGGGTGTGTTTGGTACGAAGGCTAAAAAATATTTTTATGAAAAATGAGTGGTTTCATCACTTATTTTTCTTTTTTGGTTGGTGAGTGAAAAAAAAAATTCGAAAAATATTTTCTAGTGTTTGGTTAGAGAGTATAAAATATTTTTATGAAAATAATTTTTTTTATGCTTCTCTCCTCAACCGACCTTTCCCAAAATTCTCATGTTTCTTGTACTCCCCACCCTCACCTCCACTCGGGGACTCTATTTTTTTCAAGAATTTAATTTTTTTTTTAAATTACACAAACCCAAAGAACTAATGTGCTACTTTACTTTTTCACACACAAACAACGTTAAAATTTGAGCTCGATAACTAAAAAGAAAATATTTTTTTGTTGTTGAAAAAGAAAGTATCTTTTGTACAACATGAAAAGAAATTACTCATTATATTGAATGAAAGAAAATAATTTATGTATATCATGAAAAGAAAATACTTAGTTTGATGAAAGGAAAGGAAAGAAATTAAATATTTTTTCTACATCATGAAAAGAAAGTACTCGTTTTGTTAAAATAAATTTTTTTCTATATAATGAAAAGAAAATACTTATGTTGTTGAAATGAAATTAAATAGTTTTTTGACATCACAAAAAAATATACTCATTTCATTGAAATAAAAAAAAAGTACAAAAGAAAGTACTTTTAATAATATTTTCTATTTAGGGTGTGTGGTNTAGGGGTGCGATGGATGGGGTGGGTGGGATAGGGAATAGGGTAGAGAATGTTAAAAAAGAGTTTTGGAAAATATTTTTCCTTCTTTTGATAGGAGAAAACATTTTCCTCCAATTGGAGGAAAATGAGTTCATGATGAAAATATTTTTCAAAATATTTAAGCCAACCAAATATAAAAAAATTTAAAAATATTTTTCAAAAAATATACTCCTTTTTACCAAACATACCCTTAGATGATATTGGAACGGTAGAATATTATCATTTGAAATCATGAAATGCCGGAAATAACTTGGTATTCATTTTCGATATTTGCATTAAAGTACAACTTCACATACACTTTTATCACTTAACAATGATCAATTAGAGTATATATCACCTCAATTCATTACTTAACATGGTAAATTATAATGTTATTTAATATAAACATATGGTGTGAGCAATTTTTTTCTTTCACAGATTCAATGAAAAAGCCATAATTTTCATTAAGAAGGTCAAAATACAAAAAAGTAAATTTATGAAGAAGCCAAGGGTTATAGTGTGTAATTTTTCGATGAAAAATGTTACTCGTTGATACCCCTTAAATACATGTGACTCTCCCCCCGCGCACCTAAAAATTAATTAATACACTATCATTTTGGGCACCTTGTGTAGTGGAATGGCCAAGGAAGAAAGTGACAATTGACAATTCAAATTGCTATATACTAATCAGGCTAAGGCTTAATACTTAAGCATCTATTGAGTATTAATTGTAATGGCCAGCTCAATTCTTTGTTCTTGGAGATGAGAAACTATTAGTCAATTATCCTTTCTTGTTTGGTATGTTACCGGCAGATCAGATTGCTTTGCTTTGTATTATGTTTTCCTGTATAGATCAATTAAATTCCGACGGACAATGTTTATTCAATTAAATTTATCTCATGCCAACAATAAAAGTAAATTATTAAAAAAGTTAATCTTAGAAAATTAAAAAATAAATTGACTTTGTGAGCGAAAATTTATCACTTTTTTTTTCTATTAATTGATAATTTCATATTTAAAGGGCAACCCAGTGCACTAAGCTCCCGCTATGCACGAGGTCGGAAGAAGGGCTGGACCACATGGGTTTATTGTACACAATCTTACTCTGTATTTCTGCAAGAGATTGTTTCCACGGCTTAAATTCGTGACCTCTCAGTCACATGACAACAGTTTTATCAGTTACGCCAAGGCTCCCATTCAATAATTTCATATTTAAATATTGAAATTGACGGTTTTCCTATTTCCTATAGCACATAAGAATATTAATCTTCCGGTGAGATGCCGGCAATGTTATGCAAGTGCAACCCTGTAATGTATCATGTTGATCTGTCGTTGATTTAGTTAAACTAGTATTAGTACCCGGGCGGATGCGCGGACACTAATCATGTCAAATACTTAAGTTATTTGATTGTATGTAAATAATATATTAACTACATGAAAAAAATTAATCATTTCTTCTATTTTTCTTTTTTGATATCATTTTTGCCGGTGTCATTGGATCCTAAAAATAGTCAGGAAGCAAAATAATAACTCATATTTATGGCAAAACAATCAAATGTTGAGACAATGAATGACTCTTTGGATAAGACTTAACTCTTTTACTACTACTTAAACTCTTATTTGGTGTGTTGAGTCTCTTAAAGAATATTTCTTTATTAAAATTTCAGTTTCTAAAATATTATTTTTCAATAATAATTATTTTTATACTAATATAATTAAAAATATTATTCTTAATTCAAAACTCATTTTAGTTGGTCATTTAAAAATATAAAAAATTCTTTAGCTAGTGAATTGTTTTACTCCATTTTGATATTTGACATTAACCATGTTAAATATCTGAGTTATTTGAATTATATGTAAATAACCTTAACATTTAAACCTTCTAAATAATTATAGATAATCGTAAGATATTAATTAAGAAACACTACATGAAAAAAGACTAACATTTTCTCAATTCTTGTAGTGATAATTTTACTTTTGCACTATTCTCATATGTGTCATTGGAACC